AGTAGGAATCACATTCTCCAATCCCAAAACCTCCCCCCAATTCAAAAGTGAAATATTTGGTACCGAATGTATCCAGCAATTAGTGGATGCATATGGATATGGTTAGGCAGATGCATCTATATACAAAGGGTCAACCATTATTCATTTGATATGAGGTGATGTTATTTGTATTCTTAATTATAGGTTTACAAGTTAATTTATAATTTTTATAAAAAAAATTATGTACAAATGGGCATTACTAGAGAGAGTTTTGTAATTAATGCTTTTACTTAATTAATTTGTACAATACATTGTGAAGAAATATGCAGCATATAGTGGAATACAGTGTTCACCAATTATAACATGTTTGGATAGAGGGAAATAGGAGGGAGTGGAGGGAAGAAAAATATTTTATTTAATAAAATTAAGACATTAAATGGATCAATATTTTAATTAGATTGAATGAAAAAATTTTCTTTTCTCTCTTCCCTATTATTTCACTCAATCCAAATATGCTCTTATTAGAGATTACTACATAATTAATGTGATAATAATATAATGGTCCGTGATCAAGAGAGAGAAAGCAATGTGAAACCAATCATAATAGACATGTTGTTAGGCCGGAGGGCGTGCATATGGATGCTTCCTTCCTCATCTTCTATCCCCTTTTACATTAAAACTTGAGAACGATTTGCTAGCAAGCCAACAAAATAGTGGTTAGTGGAAAGGTAGAGATTTTAAAATTTTGACATTTCATATATATTTGAGTCATATATATTGTGACATTTCTAAGCAAATCCTATACTGACAAAACACAAAAAAGATGCTAGGTGTATAGGTCACCATCTATTATCTCCTATTGATGTGTTTTAAAATCCTGAGATTTGAGAGGTTGAAACAAATGATATCAATAACCAATTAGGTCGTTATAAATAATATTAGAGCCACTCTTTGTGTCTTCTTGAATGGTGGTGGGACAAATCTTAGTGAAAAGGAGGTGCATGGAAGGAATGTTGAGAATATAAGTCATCACCTATCATCACCTATTATCACCTATTGATGCATTTAAAATTTTTTATGTCCGAAAGGTCGAAATAGACAGTATTAATAACGGGTTGAGTTGTTATACATGACATGCCAGCATGGGCTTGTTAGGTTTTGCATAGCTTGTACTTACTTTAGTTTAACAATGCCCATGGGCCATGGCGGGTTTTGGGTTGGTGTAATGGCAGGTTTGTAGAGTTTTTTTTTAGTGGGCTTGGCATTCAAAGGCTTGGAACTAAGAAAATATGTAGATAAAAATCTAAATTTTTTGACTTTTTATAATACGCAATAAATGTTTATTTTTTAAAATAAGGATATAAATTTTATGTTTTTTTTTTATTTAAAGATTTATTATATGACAATGATAACTTGGAAAAAGGTAATTTTAATTAAAATAGGATAACGTTTGTTTGTTTAAATAAAAAGAAGGAAAAATGAAAAACTTTATGTTTTTAAATATAAAAAAGTAAAAGTTTTTACTGTATGATTTAGAAATCCAAAAAGTTCATATTTTTAAATAAAAAGGTAAAATTTTTATCTTTGTCTAATTTTTTTTTCTCTTAAGAACAAATAATTATATCTTTAAATAACATTAAAAATATACTTCATCCTTCTCAAAATAATAGATATTTTTCAATTTTATTTTCAAATTAAAATTTAGAGATAATTTTTATTTTTACTCATTTTTACTTTTAAAAAATAAATAAAAATAAATTACTATTTTAATTAGATGATAAATA